AATAATAAGATGAAAAAATAAATTATGCTATATTTTATAAAATAATCTCGTACTTCTAAATATTTCATTTTTAATCATATACAATAATAATATTAACTAATAAAATTTTTATAATGTATTAATGATAGAAAATAAATAAGTTAAATCTAAATAAATAAATATTTTAAATTATCTTATATATATGTATATATATATATATATATATATATATTTATATAAATATATATATATATATATATGTTTATTTATTAATTTAATTTTTTATTTTTTTAAAATAATTTTATAAAATTTTTTATTTTAATAAATAAAATAAATTTTTTTTTACTTTTCTTTTAAATTCTTAATTTTTATATTTATAACAATATATATATCTATAATTTTTTTTTCTTTTTTAAAGTTAAAATAAAATGAATAATAAATTTTAATTTTCTAATAATTACATTATATTTTATATCCAAATATTTTTTATTTTAATTAATCTTATTTTAGATATAAATTTTATATCTATTTTTTTTTTTTCATAATAATTGATTTTTATGATATTTGTTTATTATTTTTATATAAATTATCTTTAATTGTTATGTTAGTTAATTACTTATATGTGAAATATTATATAAATAAATATAAATTTTAATATTTGTATCTTTTTTATTTATTTTATACATTCAATATATATATATATTTTTATTTTTTATATAATATGGCAATAATAAAATATATCTTAATTTATTAATGTAAAAAATTAAAAATATTGAATAATTTTTTTTATTTTTATTTGATAAATATTTTTTCATTAATTATACATTATTTTATTTATACTATTTATATTTTTATTTTATAATAAATATAATAAAATATAATTAATATGTATGTATTTAATTTTTATATTATTTTATGTTTTTTTATATTTTTTTTATATTGTTTTTTAAAAATAAAATATAATAATTAAAAAATTCTAATGTTATTAAATGTTTTTATAATTTTAACAAAAAAATGAAATTTTTTAATTATAGAAATCATTCATGTACTTTTTCAAAAGTATCTATTACAAATTATTCAATAACTTTTTCGCTTTTTTATGCTGATTTTATACAAAAATCTTTAAATTTATCATTTGTTGCCTCTATAGTAAACTTTTCAAAATAATATTTAAATAAATGACTATTCTTATTATTTTTTACATGTCTATCTCCATCATCTGTAAATGATGTATATTTAAATACACCTTCTGCTCCTTAATATTATCCAACTCCTTTAACCAAAAATAAAAATTAATTTTAATGTACTATAAATTATTTTGTAATACCTCTATATTATATATCTATTTAAACATGATAACCAGGTTTTTTTTTGCCTCTAACAGTTACTAATGTAACCTTTTTTTATTAATGAAATAAAAAAACAATTACAATAAAAAAATACTTCTCCTGTAATATTTTATATATCATAAAATTCAATCTATTTATCAGTTGAAAGAAAAGGTTACTGTTAAATAATTTACTAGAATTCTTGCTTAACTAATTTCAAATCAATTTTTTTTTCCTCCCTTTTTATATATATTGTTTTATTATATTTGGATTTTTTTATATTTACCATGTTCCTAATTAATTCCATTATGATACGTGTTTATCTCTTTTAATATTTTATGAATAAATTTATATTATAATTTAATATAATTTAATACTATTATTAAACAATTTTAGAAGGGTCAACTTTTTAAGGTTCCTTTTTAGGAACACTTTAATTTTTTTACTTATCATTATCTACCCAATATGTGTAGGAAACTTCTTTACTTAGTTTTTTTTAATCTTATTGATTTAATTCTTAGTCGTTTTATATATTTTATTAATTGTTTTATTCTTCACTATCGCTTTGCATTTTTAATTTTAATTTTTTTAAAAAAAAAATTTAAGATACTTTTTTATTTTGTAATTTTTTATAAAAATAAATCTTTGTTTTTTTTTGTTCTTTTTTTCTAAAAAGAACAAATTTAATTTTTGAATTATTTCTCCTTTAAGTATTATTTTAAAAATGAATATAAATTTCTATATATAAAATAAAAATTATTTTTATTTTAATTGAATTTAAAAAAAAATTCTTTTTATTATTAATAAATAAAATGATTATGAAAAATAATTTATAATATTATTATGTTAAAATTAATATAACATTCCTTATTAATATATATATATATATATACGAATTAAAAAATATAAAATTTATTTTAATTTTAACTATAATATGTTTTGAATTATACTTTATTATTTTAATAATTCAATAAAATATTTGACTTTTATTTTTTTAAGTATTTTCTTTTTGGAAAAATTCCAATTTAATTCATTATAATTTTTTTATTTTCTATTTTTATCTATTATAATAAAATTTATTTTTAAGTATTTTTATTTTTTAAAATTAAACATTCATATTATAAAATCTAAAAAAAATAAATATATATGATTATCTATTTTTATACAATAAATATTTATTCAACTTTTTTAATCGTCAACTTAATCATCATCTTAATCATCATCATCTTAACCATTATCTTAATCATTATCTTAATCATCATCTTAATCATCTGCTTTATCATCAACTTAACCATCATCTTAATCTTAATCATCTTCTTATTCTACTTCTTCTACTTATTCTTATTCTTATTCTTATTCTTATTCTTATTTTTCTTCTTATTCTTCTTCTTATTCTTATTCTTATTCTTCTTCATTATTTTCATTTAAATCATCGTTTTCTTATTTTTTATTTTATATATTATCTTAATCTTTTTTATTTTTTTCGTCATCACCATCTTTTTCTTAAAGATAAAGTTATTTTAACTAAGGTTTTTTTCCATTTTTTATTTGTTTTTTATCAACATCTTATAATATAAAGTCTTTTTATTTTTAGCATTAATAATTTTTTTTAACTCTAGAAGGAGATAAATTCTTTTTTTTTTTATATATATATATATATATATATATATATATATATATAATACTAATTTTATATTTGTTTAAGCATTTTAAATAAAATCTTTTGGAGCTGATAAATCAAAAACACTATTATAAATTTTATTATTTTTATTAAATGATGATTATTCACTGTTTTTCCCTAAAACATTATTCACAGGGATGCTTAAAGAATTATTTATTGGATTATTAAAAATGCCAAGAGTTAATCTATTATTATTTTCTATAGTTTCACTTTAATTTTCAAGTATTTTTTGGTTTCTTTATTAATATTAATCTTTTATTTTTATAATAAAATTTAGATTTTAGTTATTATTTAAAATATTTATAAAAAAAATAAACCTTTATTTATATTATCAAAAAATAAATTCCTTTCTATTTCTTAATCTTTTAATTTAATAAATTTTAATTTTTTTTTTATTTTTATTTTTTTTACTAAAAGTATTTTAAATTTACGATTATCTTTATTATTCTAATAATCTAAATTAATAATTTTTAAGATTAGTTTTTCTTATTTATTCTTAATTTTCTTCAAAAAGAGGCGGTAAAATTTTATTTTTGGAATGTTCTTTCATCATTTAATTATTATTATTATTATTTTTAAAAAATTAATTATTTTCCTATTCTTATTCATATTTTTTAAGTTTATTTTTCATTCTTATTATTTCATTTTCTTTAACTCTAGTAATTGTTTATGAGGAAGCAAGCATATCTCTAAGCATTTTGCTTTCATTTTCTTTCTATTCGACTAACTTTTTTAATTCTTTTTTTTATATATTATATAAAACTATTTAAACTAAAAAAATATTAATACCTGGAACCATTTTTTTAGAATATTCTTCTAGTTGTTTTTGCATTTTTTATAAATCAAATTTCATTTTTTCATTCTTATAATAAAAAAAATATAAATCTAAAAATATTTTTCTTTATAAAAAAGTGTTTTTATTTTTATTTACATCGTTATGAAGCATTATTTTTAATTTATTAAAATTTATATATTATTATTCTTTTTTATCTAGCTTTTCTTGTATTGCTCTATGTTTTGCATTTAATTATTTCAACTTTTTTATTTTATAATATAAATTGATATTGTTTTATTTTACTTTTAAATCTTTTTCTTCGTTTAATTATACTAATTCTTTTATATTTGATTCTAATTTTTAATTTTCATTTTAATTTTCTTAAATCTTAATTTATTATTTTTCATTTATTATATAATTATATTTTTAATAATACTTATTATTCTAATTGTTTAATCATCTCTTTGTCATCTTATATATTTTTTTTATATTTTTATACTAAAGTATTTGATTTTTAATTAATTCTTATTTTAATTTAAAAAATAAATAAATATTCACAAAAATAATCAATTTTACTATTCTAACATTTCATTTTCCTCGTTAGCATTAATCAATTTATCATTTAAATCTTATATTAATTAATCTTTTTATCTTAATTAATTTAAATATTCTTCTTATAAAATATTCATTTCATTAATTTCATTTTATTTCTAATATTTAATGAGTTATTAAAATAAATATTTTGTTTTTTATTAAATATATATTACATCTTTTAATTAATTAATATTAGATTATTCAAGTAAATTTAATTTGTTTTCATAATATTCTTTTTATTTATTTAATTTTTATTCTATTTCTAGATTTTATTTTTAAATTGTATTATTCATCACTTATAGTTATTTATTTATATTTTAATTCTCCAATAAACATATTTTTTGATTATTTTATAATTCATCAAATGATTCCTATTTTTACTTTTTTTCTATTTAAAGTTAATCTATATCATTTTTTGCTTGCACTAAATTATTTTCATACTATAGAAGTTTTTCGTCTTTTAATTATTATTCCTAAATTATATTAAAATATTCTTTTTTTCAAAACAAAAATATATATATATATATAATTACTTATTCAATTTAATAAATTTTATTTTCCAAATCTTTGCATTTTTCTTCAGTAGTTTTCAATTAGATTTGAATTTTCCTTTATTTGTTTTATTAAATTATATAAATAATATAAAAATACTGTTTTTATTCTGTTAACTATTCTAACTCTTTATTTTTTTATTCTTCAATTTCTTTTACATTTCCTTCTAATTCGTTAAGTTGACTCTTTTTGATTTTTTAGATACTTATAATTTTTTTATTTTTATTTTTTAAATTTATAATTTTTAAAAAAAAACTCAAATTATTCTCTATATTCAAAAAGTTATTTCTCTAACTTCTATATTTCATTTGTTTAATGGGCAATAATTTCTTTGTCTTATTCTTTTTCAACCATTATTTCATACTAACTTTATTATTTATCAATAACTGATTTTTTAAAACTCTTTTTTATATCTCTTTATTATACTTTTCTTTTTTTATATATAATTAAAAAATAATTACATATGTTTTTACTATAATTCTTATTAAGATTCACTATTTTATTTTTAAATTTAAGTAATACTCTAAAAATAAAAATATAAATAAAGTTTATTTAGTATTTATAACTTAAATTATTTTTACATTTTATAGTTCATTAATTGTTTTTTAATTGATTGAGAGTTCTTATTTTTGAGATTATATTTATTTTTAAAGATCTTATTACTCTTATTTCTTTTATTTATATAAAGCATATATTAAATATTTTATTTATTTACATTTTATTCCGAATTGGCTATTTATTCTTTAAAGGTTATTTCATTATTTTAATATTATTATATCTAATAATAAAAAAAATATATTAAACTATTAATTTTTAATACTGTTTGTTATTATTAATCAATAGTTAATTTATTTTCATTTATGATTTTCTCGAATTTGCTTAATCTAAAATTCAATAGTAAATTATTTAAACAAAAAACTAAAATAAAAATATATAAATAACCTTTCTGTTAATATTTATATTTATTTATCTCTTATTTCAACTTCACTTTTTAATGATTTATTTTTTACAACTAATGTTAATTCATTATTTTAAAGCTATTTATTTATTTTTAAATTAGTTTTTAATAATAATTATTATTACATCCATTATACTTTTTGATGATTATATTTATTGTTTTAAATCTTTTAAAATTCCTTTTGCTTCATCAATTTCTTTTTTAGTTTCATCAAAATTATTATCTTATATTTCTTTTAATTGTTAAATAAATAAAATTAACTAAAAATAAGTTAAAAACAGTTTAATGAAGTGCTCATTTTTAATTAAGTTATCGTTATTGAATTTTATATATAAATAAGCCTTTTATTATATTAAAAAATGTTATAAAATAATATTTTATTTTATATTACGATTATTTTAAAGTTAATAAATAATTTTATTATTTAGATTATATAATATTTTTTTATTTATATTTTTTTTCTTTAAAAAGATTAAATAATTAAATATTAATGAAATATTATTTATTTATAATTTACAAAGCTTTTTAAATATATTATTAATTCAAAAACTAAAATATATAATTTTATTATTATTAGCCTATAAATTTTATTTTTTTATAAATAAAAATAAAAAATATCAGCCAATATATTTTTTTAAAATTAATAAATAATAAAACTGTATTAAATAATATTTTATTATTTTTAATTTATTCGTTAAAATATAAATTATAAAAAATATAATATCTAAATGAACTATTAACCTATATTAATTTAGTAATCCTAAAAGTAATATTCAAATAATCCAAATATATAAAATTATCCTAAAGTGCCTTTTATTTATCAATAAAAACATTTAATAATATAAAAAAATTATCCCTAATTTTAATAAATAAAGCCAATAGCAATATCAAACAATTAAAATTAAAATTTGATGTTAGGTAGAGATTTAACTTAATAAATTCCAATTATATCACCAGATTAATCATCTAAATGCATTCAAGGTACACCAGAAAAAAGTAAAGAAGCATTATCTTGTATTTATATAACCCCAAATAATAAAAAATATCCAAATCAAATAAAAATTAAATACACTCCTGCTAATTAACTTATGGATGAAAAAATATAAAAAACAGAAAAAGTAGTCTAAAATATTTAAAGGCGATAATCTCTTCACTTTTTATAAGATACAACAAATTTTATTGAAAAAATGTAAAGCTAAGATGAAAAAAAATTAATATTTATTAAATTTTATAGAAATTATAATGAATATAAATTTTATTGTTAAATTAATAATAAAAATAATATTTTTATTAATTTGATATTTTATTTTGATTACAATAGTTTTATTTTATTATATTGTTTATATATATAATTATATAATATATTTTACTTTATTAAATTATAATGTATTTTTTATTTTAAAATTTAAATTAAAAATAATTATATATATTTAAAATTATAAAAGTTTCTATATTAGTTATAATAATAATAAACGAAAACTAATTTTATATTAATTAAAATAAATTAATATGAAGATTTTATTATAATACTTATACAGTTATTTTAAATTATTTAAGGGTAAAGTTAATTTTTATAAAACAAAATTAAATAAATTTAATTTTTATATTTGAAATATATCTCCAATTTAAGTGCTCTAAAAATAAATAAAAATATATTTATATTTTAAAATATTCAAGATTGACTATATTAATTTTACAAAATAAAAAATATTATAATTATTTACTTTATATGTTTTGTAATTTCAACAAAATATTTTATTATGCTTCTTTTATTTAAAAAAATATATTTTTTTAAAAAAAAAAAATTAATAATTTATTTTTTAAAAAAATTTAATTAAATAAACACAAAAAAAAAAGCTTTTTTTTTAAAAAAAAAAAATATAAATAACAAGTATCAATATTTATTTTCAAAAAAAAGAAAAGAAAAGAAAAAAATAACAACAACAATAACTTAGAAAGTATTAAACAAAAAATAAAAAAATCAGGAAAATATTTACCCAAATCAAAAAAAAAAATAAAAAATAAAAAAAAAGAACAACAAAAACAAGAAAATATATACTAAAAATATGAGTGAGTAAATAGAAGACATAGAACCCCACATATTAAAGTAATACTAAATCCTAAATAAATTAGGAAAAGGAGCATATGGAATAGTTTGGAAAGTGCAAGAAAAAAAATCACAAAAAATATATGCATTAAAAAAGATATTTGATGCTTTTTAGAATTCTACAGATGCCCAAAGAACATTTCGTGAAATAATGTTTTTATAAGAACTAAACCATCCAAACATAATCAAAGTATTTGATGTAATTAGGGCTAAAAATGATAAAGATATTTATTTATTATTTGAATATATGGATACTGATTTACATGCAGTCATTCGTGCTGGGATATTAGAAGAAATTCATAAATAATATATAATTTATTAAATTTTTAAATCTATTAAATATATACATTCTGCATAATTAATTCATAGGGATCTTAAGGCTTCTAATATTTTAGTTAATTCAGACTGTATGGTCAAAGTAGCAGATTTTGGGCTTGTGCGCTCTATAGCTTCTTAATCTAACGGTTTGATTCCTATTTTGACTGAGTATGTGGCAACAAGGTGGTATAGGGCTCCCGAGATATTATTAGGTTCTTAAACATACACTAAAGGTGTTGATATGTGGAGTATAGGTTGCATTTTAGCTTAAATTTTGTTAGGTAAACCTCTTTTTGCTGGGACTTCAACTTTAAACTAACTCGAGTTAATTCTTTAGGTCACTGGAAAACCGAGTTAGAGTGACATAGACGCAATTTAAAGTGATTTGGCTTTTACAATGCTGGAAGCAGTAAGTAATAGTAAAAGTAAAAAAAGTTTAAATCAATTAATTCCTTAGGCTAGTGATGAAGCTTTAGATCTTTTAAGTAATTTATTGCTGTTTAATCCGAAAAAAAGATTTACTGCTGAATAAGCTTTATAACATCCTTATGTAAAGTAATTTAGTAATATAAATGAAGAAATTGTGTGTTAAAAACCTGTAGGAATACCTTTAGATGATAATAAAAAATATTCAATGAGGTATTATAGAGAATAATTATATTTATAAATTTCTAAAAGAAAATAATCTTTAGAAAAAAAAAATTCGAGTAATTAAAACTCAAGTTCAAAATAAAAAATAAAAAATAATAATTATAATATTGAAATTTCATAAAACTCTGTAAGAAAAAAAACATAAAAGTAAAATAGTATGCTTTTTTAATAGAATGTGAACTAAATTTAAGAAAGTATCAAAAGATAAGTATGTGCTTAAAAATAATAAGCATTATAATAATAATAATAATAATAATAATAATAATAATAATAATAATAATAATTATAATAGAAATTTCAAGATTCCCATTTTTTATAGTCTAGTAATTAAAGAGAAAGTAGTTGTGGTACTAAATCAAAAAAGCATACTCCTACAGTTTCTACGAAAAATTAAAATAATAATACTGCTGGTGTTTATAGTAATGCTAATATTTTATGCAGCTCGTCCTAAAACAATTTAAATAAAGCAAAAACAAATTAAAATATTAACTCATTTAATTAATAAGAAAATGTTTTTTAAAAATAAAAAACATCGATTATTCATTCTTAGCAATAATTATTATAATAATCTTAAAAAAGTTTATAAAAAGTTGTTATAAAATAGAATGAAAATAATACAGAAAATTTTTCAAAAGAAAAATAAAAAGTTGAGTTTTACTATCCAGTTAAAAATAAAATGAGCACTACTAATTATTTTGGAATAAAATAAGCTATTACATAGACGATGTCTTAACTTAATTAAAAAAATATAAATAATAATAATAGTGGAGGATCTTAAATAAATAAAAAACAAAATAACATTATTAACAAATAATTATCTAATTAAAAATTTTTATAAAATTACTAAAAGAATAAATTACTTTAAAAATATTGAAAAAAATAAATAAAAATTATCGTATTAATAAATAATTATTTTTTTATGTTAAATTATTATTTTTATAATTAAAAATATATTTATTTTATTAAAAATTTCATTTAGGTATATAATTAAATTAAAATTATAAATTATCGCTTTATTAATAAATTTTTTATTTATTTTTTTAGTATTTTTTTCTTATTTTAATTTTAGCCTATTCTTATATATTAAAAAAATTAAGTTTTTTACTACTATTATATTTATAAATACTAAATAAAAATAATTAAAATAATATATGTTTATATTTTTATTTTTCACATTTTTTAAAAAAATTTATCTTTATATAAGACCATAATACATTTTTTATATCTTTTTCTAAAAAAAAAAAAAAAAAAAAAAAAAAACCTATAGAAAAAAAAAAAAATAGGGTTAATTTAAAAAAAATAATTTCTAAATTTAATTTCAATTTTTAAATATTTTTTTATTTTTTTTTTTTTTTTTATAAAAAAAAACCGAAAAAAGAAAAAAAATAAAATAATTTTGGAACAAGGAAAAGGAAACCCCTTTAAATAAGGAAACCCCTTTATAAATTTTTAAAATAATTAAAAAATTAAAACCAAAGGATAAAAAATAATATTTTTTTTCGACTTCAAAAAATAAACCAAAAAAAACACCGAAATTTTATTTAAATAACCAAAAAAAGGTTCAAAATAGGGGAGGTTATTTAATTTTTTTATCAAAAAATACAAATTTTTGTAATAAAGTAAAAAAAGTAATTAATATTTAACAAATAACCTATAAGTAA